AAGTTAAAAGTTTAACAATTTTTTTTTCTATACCTTTCAATTTTTGCTTTTTGTTCAGAGCAAGCATTTGTAATTTAAAATGGTTTTAAAATTTGAATAGTTTTTTTTTTCTAAATATTTTACTTTTAATCACTTTTTTTCTTTTATTTATGTTTTTGTTAAAATTTTGTGATGTTTTTTTTCCATTTAAATTTAACTTTTAGGAAGGTAGGGGAGGGGAGGGCATAACGGAATGTTGACATAATTTTAAAGGGAGGTCTCTGGAAGATTGACAAATTTTTGATTAGAGGGAGAGGGGAAGGTAAAAATTGTTAAAAAATTGTTGACATAATTAATGGACAGTTTAGTTGCAACATTTTTCTGATATTGTGTTATAATTAAGTGAAAATATAAAAAAAACTGAAGCCATTTTATTCATTGCATTGCATAGATTGTTTTCAAAATCATTAACTATCTCTTAAGGTAATTGGTTAAAAGTATTTGTTTATTTTTCAAAAACATTAATTTGTTGACATTAGGAGAAAACTGTTGATATGAACACTCTCTGGTGTATCAAACCCATTAGTATATCCAATAAAGTTAGCGACAACCCAAAAACTCAATAAATTGTTTAAACACTGACTTTTATAAAGTTGGCTGAAAAATTGTCAGAAAAAAGGATAATAAACTAAGCCGGAATAACAAAATTAAAATTTCAATAACCAAAGCAAAATTCTGAAAATATAAACTAAAAACAAATGAACAAAGTCGGTATTTAAAAATAAATATAGCCAAGTAGAACTTTGAAATTTATTTCATAAATTAAAAAAACATTTTAATAATGTTTTATTCCTCGTCTGTAGTGGCCTTCTCAGCCTTGAAGAGGTGAATTAAAAAAAAAAAAGTCAGTTTCTTGACTGAATTCTCAGCCTTGAAGAGGTGAATTAAAAAAAAAAAACCCAGTATTAAATATCAAATGTTTTATCAATATATTTTGAAATTTATTTCATAAATTAAAAAAACATTTTATTAATGTTTTATCAATATATATTTTACAATATCGGTACAAAGTCAGTTTCTTGACTGAATAAAATGATTGAGTTGAGTAACACTAGGATGGCAAAATGCAACAGGAAAATCATTAAGTGAGTCTGAATTTATTGTTGCACACCTGACATGAATAAAAATCTGTATATGGACCATTGTTACATTGATGAGTCAAGTGGGAATAATGGTTGGAATTGTGACCAAGATTTTTTTCAGAAAATAAAAAAGAGATGCAATCTTATGAAGACAGGAAAGTGGCTCAAGCTTGGCAGATAGAGCAGGCCTAATTCCATTTACAATACATTTTAAAACCTTGTCTAGAAAATTAATAGCATTTTAATTACAAATGAAAAAAATATATACCAAGAGTATTACAGGGATGAATAAGAGATAATTGAACTTGGGATATGATTTAGGTCATGATTACTTAAAATGACTTTGTAATGTTTGTGGTAATAAACATACATTACTTGTATAAGATAAACACAAGTAGTTTTTTTTTAATCAAAGTTCTTTTTAATGCAATAAAAAGTTCTTTTTAATGCGATAGTGGTGTAGTGGTAAATAAAAATAGAGCGCTCGCTTCATAAACGAGAGGTTCCAAGTTCGATCCCCACCACGTCTCTGGTAGTACCGCGCTCGACTCGTTTCTCCGCGCAGCGACCTTGTTTGTCAAGGTTCGTGTTTCAGAGTTATAGTGTTGAGAGAGGGTTATAACCACAAATAAGTAGCCTCCTCGTTTGTAGTGGCCTTCTCAGCCTTGAGGAGGTGAATTAAAAAAAAAAAATCAATTATTAATTATCAAATTTCTAATACATTGTTTCATAATTTAGGTATAAATTACACATATTTATGGTAGGATTTAAATTAAGTATTAAATTCAGTGAAATCTATGATATCATTTAATGATAAAATTTAGCTTTTTAAAAATGATTAGTTTTTGCTTTATTTTTTTTCTTTTAGAAAAATGTAATTCATAGAGATTTAAAGCTTTCAAATATTGTTTTAAACAGAAGGTATATCAAATTTGTTTGTTTTAAACTCAAGGTACATCAAGTTTATTAGGATTAATAAATGTTGTGGTTATTAAAATCAAATAAAATGATTAGTCTCTATTATAATAATACTGTTAGTATTTATGATCAGCCCATGGAATTAGAGTCTGCATATGGCAATGCTGACCTGACAGTGTCTGAGGTCGGCAAAAAAATTGCTGACCTCAGAATTAAAAAAACTTAATTTTATTTGCTATTTTAAATAAATTAAAAATAAAAAAACAAACACTTTATTTAAATTTTAAATTAAAAATTATAATAAAAATGCCAAAAAGAACATTGTATTAAATTCTAAATAAAATCATTAAAATAAAACTAAAAAAACTAACATTTTATTTAAATTTTGAATAAAAAATAAATAAAATAGAGAAAGAAAAATGAACATTTTATTAAAATTCTAAATAAAATACTTTAAATTATAACAAGAAAAATAACATTTCATTCAAATTAGTTATCTAAATAAGAAGAATTAAAATTTAAATAGCAAAACAAACATTTTTTATAATTCTAATTTAAAAAACATAACATTAAAGTTTATGTTATTTAAGTTAGATTTATAAAAAAATTCAATTTGTTATGCTAAATGTTTGCAGTTCATTGATTTGTCAAACCCTGTTTCTAAATTTTGTGCCAACCTGATGCCAACCTAAAACAGTTTTAGATGGGCAATTTTTTGCAGACCAAATTTTTCCTAATTCCAAGGGCTGTTTTGATACTATATAAGTTTAAGTATATAATACTTAATACTATTTATATGTAATTCAAGTGTTGCATTTATAAAGTTTATATATATATATATATATATATATATATATATATATATATATATATATATATATATATATATATATATATATATATATATATATATATATATATATATGGGCAATTCCATTTTTAACTTACATTACATGCACAACAACTTTATCAAATATTTGCCTATTTAAACTGTAAATTAAACTTTTAGCTATTTTGTATGAAAGCTGTTAGTCTAAAGAATGAAATAGGCTAAAAAGTTTTGAGTCTGGCCAAAAGTGGGCGAACTTATTGCTGAAAATGCCACTTAACTTACTTTACACGAAAAACAAGGTAAAAAAATTCCTTTAACTTTTAGGTCAGATTTCTGCGAATCAGTAAAGCGGTTTGTATTTCACAATTACTTAATATCTTGTGAAACTTTTGCAAGATGTTAAGAGTTCTATACTAATTTAAAATATATAAAAGTTTATCAGAGGTGACCGGCTAAGGAAAATAAACTTGTTTTTTTTTGATACTATGTATTTAACTTACATTACATCATTTACATTACCGAGCGATTTTTATTGTGGTTTTTTATATTTATAATTAAGAGTTGTGTAGCAAAAGAATTGCAAAAGTATTTAACTCATTCATTAAAAATAGTTAACAAATGAAATTTTAAAAAACTGGTGGTACTCTTCCTGAGTGATTTTTCATAACATTTATGATAGTTATCAAATCGAAAACAGTTTTTCTGCAAGACCAAGAGCAACTTTAAAAATTATTTTAGTATTACAGCTTTTTTAATACTTATTTGAGTCATTTAAATAAGAAAGTCTTTGGTTTGTTGAAGTTTTTACTTGCACTTTTTTACGTTTATGCGTATTACCTTATTTCCATTAGGTTGAATTTTTAAAATGCTGCAAAGTATTTACATTTAAATCTTTTGAAACATTTTTGACAAAAAACTGCTATCACAGTTGAGGGAGAGGATGTATGTGATTGTTTGTAACAGGTGGGAATGGGTTAGGAATTGACAAATATAGGATGACGTGCTTTATGGATGACCCCCTTAATTGGATTTACAAACAATTTGTTTTACTAAAACAAAAATACAAAAGGTTTTAACTGATTTTTTTATATAAGGAGAATAGCAAATTATTCCTTTCTTTTTTTTTTAATGTCTAAATACAAATATTTATATAATTCTTATTTTCATTTATGTATATTTATGTATATGTCAACCAAAATAAGAATACATAAACAAATAAAAGAAACAATAATATAAATAATTTTAACTAACATTAAAAAAAAATTAAGGATTTTTTCTCAATTCTCCTAATATAAAAAGTTAAAACCTTATCAAACCAACACGACAAAATAAGAATTACTTAATGACGTAATTTATTTTGTTAACGGAAAAGCCCTAGAATATTAGTCAATGCATATAGTTTTAACTTGTTACACAAGTTTAAAATAATAAAATGTGCTTAAACTAAGCATCGTTATTCAAAACTTTAAAAGCGAAAATGTAGCATTTAATATTCTTTTGCATATATTATTAAAACTTAGGTTTTTTAATAAATTTTAGAAAAAACAAAACTTTATCATGTTTTTGTTAATTTGCGTTACATGAAAATTGCAAAAGTTCTTTTGTTTTGAAATATAAATATTTTATAAAGTATAAAATCTGCCAAACAACAATTTGAACATGTTAGCTCCAATTTCACGCTAAATTAATTCCAGTTATGCAAAAAAATTCATGGTTAAAATAATATTTTACAAAGGTACTTTTTTTATCATGCGACAATGAGAAAAACCGTAACTTTTGGAAGCATAAAAATGACTTAAATAAATTTATTTTAGTACTTAAAGTATATTTTTAATAAAATTTCAGGTCTACAACAGTATTCATTTGCTAAACAATTATGAAAAAAAGAATAAAATTTGACCACTTTTTCATTTTCTACCGTGGAATCGCTTATATTTATATATATACACACACACTGTCAGTTAAATTTTTGTCAAAATTGATCCCAACATTCTTGTTTTAAGATTATTGCTGTCATCAAAAAGTTCTTTAAAGACACTAGTGATTATACTTGGGTTGTTGTTAGTTTGGTTTTATTTGAACATCATTTATTGCATCCTTATGGCATACTTAAAAATCATAAAATCCACTTATTGTATTTGTAATACAAATATCTAAAAAATTAAGTTCTTTTTTTTCAAGTTAAACAGTATATTTTATGGAGAGGTTTTGCTTATTTAAAGTTTTAAGAAACCTTTTTTTGTTTTTTGAATCGAAGCAAGCATGGGTATTATCCACATATCTTTTGTAAGTTATTGGTTGAAATAAATTGACATAAATTAATCTTCTTTCAAAATTCTGCAAAAATGCTTTAGCTACTAAACTACCAAATTTTGAATGTTCATTTAACAAATGCTCCACCAAAAGTTACAATTTAAATGATGAATGTTCATTTAACAAGTGCTCCACCAAAAGTTACAATTTAAATTTGAGGAAACATTGACTTTTTGTTTCTGTATTTTTTTAAACAAAACGTTATTTTCTAATTTTAGCTTAAAGGTTATCAATGCATTTTTAATTTTATCTAAAAATAATAAAGCGTTAATAAAAATATTACCATGTAAAGTTTACAAGCTTAGATATAACTTTTTGATAAAGTAACATTTGTTTCATAAAATTTTTAGGTGTTTTAGTTGCAGGCTCTAACAAATACAATTTTTGGCACAACAGTTTTTTAGTTATCATTTTAGCCAAAAGCTATAGTGAAATAGTTCTAAATCTCTGTCATTATTTACACAAAACCAAGAAATAGTTTAAATTTTTGAAATTCCAAATAACCAATGCGGAAAATAAAGTAACTCTAACAAATAACATCTACTAAAATACATTCTTGTGTTGCTCGTCATTCAATTAAGTCTCATCATTTTACTATGACTGTTCTTAAGTGCTCCAAAAACTCTTATTCATCTAGTTTTTTTCCTCGGATATCAGTTCTTTGGAATTTGCTTCCTTCATCTTGCTTTCCTGATTGATATAATTTATAATTTTCTATCTTTTAAGTTGTCTGTCAATTGTTTTCTTGCTCTATAATCTTCATCATTTCTCTTTCAGTAACTTTCAACTCTAATAGTGGTTGCTTGCAGCTTGTTGGAAGTGAAAACATTAAAAAAAAAAATACTATAAAAATTATAAATTATAAAAGATTGCAATTGTTTTTTATATTTTAAAATTTATAATGAGTACAAAGTCAACTTTCTTCATATTTTCTGTCTTTTCTCTGTCATGATTTTAGTGTCATTTTTAGTGTCAAAAGCGTAAACTGTAAAAGTTTGAGCACAAGAAAGAAGTAGCTTTGGCTTGATCTGTTTGGCTATTATTGTTAATATATTATTGTAATCAGATGATTGTAAATTTTGAGGAAAATATATATGTATATCTTGTTGTTGTTGTTGTTTTGCTCATCTATTTTTAGTTGTATTGTTAAATTAAACAGGTTTTCACTTTTTCTACATTTTTACAGATTCATGCAGATTTTGTTTACAAATTGTTTTAAATTTTCACAATTTTCTAGAATTATTTTTTTTTTTCATTTTTTTTATTGATGGTAAATGATTCCTTAGATTGAGTATATTGTCTGGCCTGTCACATAATTGTGTCCTGTCATCACAACACAGATCTAAAAAAATTCACTTTCAAAGTCTCAAAAGACTGTACAGTAATTTCATATTAAAGCAACTATGGCAGGTATGGGCAACCTTTGACATGGTGTGGGCCAAACTTAAGTGTGCAAATACGTTGGCGGACCGCATTTAAAAGTACTGCATTTTTAAGTAGTACTTTAATGAAGTAAGTCATAATTTTTAACAATATATATCAGACATAAAATAATAAAGCATTGTTATTGTAATACAATTTATTCAAATTACAAAATTAAATGAAAAATATAGATTCTAAACAAATTAATTTTTGAATTATATACGTTTTTAACACACTTCATTTAACAACAAGAAATGCGAAGTGCTTAAAACTACTGTATTTATAAATAACAACCACGTTAATTCTGACCTCAAGATGTACCAAAATTTTAAATTGGGTTTTTCAAAATGTCTCACAGGGTTGATCAAAACTTGCAGCAGGCCAGATCTGGCCCACGGGCCAGATGTTGCCTACATATATATTTTTTTAATAATTTAACCATATTTTATTAAAGATAATAAATTCATAAAATTTTAGTCTAAACGGAGTTTCTGACTTATGATTTTTTCAATTTTGATTATTATTATTGTTTTTATTAATTCCCGCCTTTTTGAAATTTAATTTTTTTCTTATAAAATCAAATCTTCAAAAAAAAAAATACTAAAAATATGCAACTTTTTCAATCTTTAGGTAAGAAATTCAAATACACAAGTTCATATTTTAATGATAAAGTTCATACTCCAACTTATCCTTGGTAGCACTTTTTTTTTAGTACTCGAAGAGTGACTATTATAAATTTTGGATCTGGGAAAATTCTTGGTAATGATGGCGAACTCATAAAAGATAAAAGTGGCAGCCCTGCTTTTGTAAGTCCAGAAATTTTAAAAGGTAGTATTGTTTATAAAAAACATTAATTTTAAAACAACTTTTTATATCAATTTAAATTGTTTTGAGTCAGAAATGTTTTTTTTTTTGTTGTTTTTTTTTTAACGTTTAGTTTCTTGTTTAATATATTGTCTTTAAGTTATCGTTTTAACCCATTGTTTTTAAGTTTTCATATCTGTAATCAAAAAGCAATCGGTAACTGCTTCATTGCTTAGTAATGTTATCTGTTGTAAAATGCTTCATTGCTTAGTAATGTTATCTATTGTAAAATGCTTCATTGCTTAGTAATGTTATCTGTTATTAACTGCTTCATTGTAATGTTGTCTGTTGTTAATCACTTTTGATTTTTTTGATATAGAACATTGTTACTCTAATAGAATATCATTACAATATTTTATATTATAATATAGAATATTGTTGACTTTAGAGTAGAGAGCAAGGCGGTAATGAGAATTGCGGCATCACCCTTGTCACTGCGATAATTATAAAAGAAATGTTAAATAATTTACAATGATAGGGCGGTAATGGTAATAACATGTTTGATAATACTGCAGTAATGGTAATAACATGCTTGGTAATACTGCAGTAGCGATAGCAGGTGTCAAATATAATTACCAAACACAAAATGTAACTATCATAATAAATTTATTTCTGCTTGAAGTATTAAGTTATTTCTGTATAATTTGAACAAAGAATAAGTATGGGTAATAATATAATGGAACCATGGACAGCTTTAAATTATAGATTAATAAAAATTTTTGAAATACGAGATTTTTATAAAAGAGTTATTATTCACTGTACTGAAGCTGTTATAAGCATAGGTTGATTATGTATGTAACTTGTTTGGATATAGCAATTGTTTAGATATAGCTATTGTTTGCAAAATCTTTAAGCTCACGAGAAAGTAGACCATTAGTAACTAATAATTTTTTCTATAGTTCACATTTTTTATTTTAATTTTAAATGTGAACTCAAGTTGAAATTTTTTTAAAAATTATTCACCTCCCAAGGCCGAGGAGACCACTACAGTCGAGGGGTTACTTTTGTGGCTACAACCCTCTCTCAACTATATAACTTTATAACACGAACTTCGAGAAACAAGGCTGCTGTGTGGAGAAACAAGTTGAGCGCTGTACTACCAAAGAACGTGGTGGGGATTGAACTTGATTACTACACCACTACCACATGTTAATAATGTACTATTTAATGTACTATTTACTGCAAGTTAATAATGTACTATTTAATCTACTATTTACTGCATGTTAATAATGTACTATTTACTGCAAGTTAATAATGTACTATTTAATATAAATTTAAATACTATAAAGTTAAAATATAAATTATAAGTAAAATAAACATGTATTTAAATTTTCATCAACTGTTGGGTAGAGTTTAGACTTGTAAAGCATGGATGTTAGAGTTTCTAATTAAGAGTTTGTAGTTTATCAAATTTATGAAAAGTCAAGCAAAAGTCATGGAATTTCATTTTCAAATTTGAGTGACCACTTTTTATTATCATTATTTTTAAATATAAGAAAATTAGAATCAGAAACTAAGGTTTAAATGCATTAATGCACTAAATGCTTTTAATCAAGCTTGACAAAGGATAATATTCATTGTCAAGATATATATATATATATATATATATATATATATATATATATATATATATATATATATATATATATATCCATATGGACATATTATGTCCATGGATTATGTATGGACATATTATATATGGACATTAATGTCCATACTTTTTTTTTCTAGTTTAATGTCTGTGGTTCCACACTTCCAAACCCATCCAAACCACACACTCAACAGTGTGTGGTTTGGATGGGTTTCCCTAATGTCATTTTGTCATTTGAATATGACATTTTGAAGAATTACAGTATTTTCTTACAATTTGGCGCTTTCCTGGCATTAACCTGTTTGGATGGGTTTCCCTGATGTCATTTTCTCATTTGAAAATGACATTTTGAAGAATTACAGTATTTTCTTACAACTCAACGCTTTCCTGGCATTAACCTGTTTTGCAGATCAGAAATGAGTATTTTTATCATAATACCACACTATAAAGATTGTGATACTGCTATGAAGATTCAAAATTCATGAGCTTTTCCTACCCTTAGCCACAATTATTTTAAGAGTTTTATAAAACCAGATTTTTTTTCCCAAGTTACTTTCATCGTAGCTAAGGAGCTTCATCGCCTTAATGTAGGTTCAGTTTAATTTCCTGACCAAGACTTATGCCTTTTTATTGATGAAGATGTTAACTTTAATTCAAACCTGTTCCATTGTTGTTTTGTGGAAAAGGATGACCTAAATGCATATTATCAATCCTTTGTCAGGTTTTTGTCAAAAGTTTAGTAAAGAACTTTTATAAACTAAATAGTATTAAATATTAAACTAGCAAACCACTCTTAAAAATATCGTTAATAAAACAACTCTTATAAATATTGTAAAAAATTGATAATTGAAAATAGTTTGAACAAATGTTTAGATTAGGGTTGTTAACCGGTGGATTTCGTGCAATTACGAAAAAACGACATTCTTTCGTAAGGAGATTGAGAACGAGAAATTACATTTTTTTGTACCCAATATTACAAAACATTTAAAATCGTCGATGTTCATTTCGCAAATGCCACTTCCGAAATTTAGCATTTCGGAAGTTGACATACGAAATAAAACTATTTTGCAACATACGAAAGTAGCGGTTTCGGAAGTCACACTTGCGAAACAAGCATTTTCGCCAAACAACATTTTGAAGTGTATAAAGAAAACTTGTTTGCTAGACTGATTTTAATTGTAAAAATTAATATCTTTAAATCCCAAAATGTTTATAATGAATTTATTTTTAGTATAATAACATATTAAATTTTTATGGTTTTATTTTTAGAAATATTGATAAAAAACAAAATTTCTTTCAAAACAAAAGAATTTGGCATCACAACATACGAAAAAGTTCTTAACGGAAACAAACTTACGAAACGTGCCATAATAAATATACATAATGATGTTTTTTGAACTCATATATTTACGTATAGTAAAAGTAAGAATGATGGGGAGGAATATACATGTTTTTTTTTTTAAAGCATATGAAATTTTTGAAACAGGTTCTAATATGCTTAAGCAAAAAGTAAAAAGAGGCTCAAAAATATGCTTAACCTTAAGCATATTTCTAATAAAATATACCTATTTCAATAATTTATAAAAGTGTGTGCGTTACTAACGGTTAATGGGTATAAGAAAAATAAATGGTTGACTTATGTTCTCTATTTTTGCTTTGGTTTTAATGTATTTGAATTAATGTTGTTATAAACTTCGGTTTTTGTTGTTTTTGTTGGTTTAAATTTAGAAATATAAATAATTATAATTTTTAATTAAATAAAAATAAAATTTTTAAAATGGTTTATCGAGGCTCGGAAATATGCTTACATATGCTTTTTTTTTTTCCAAATCTGGGCCTATAAGTGTTATGTTATAAAAAAACGAGTATATACAGTAGAATTCCGTTGTCTTGGTCCCTGGATAAGTAGGACTTTAAGTTAATCCAAAAATGACGTCAGTAAATATAAGGGGGAGGGGGTACTGAAACATTTGACAAGAATTGACAATGGGGAGTAGGTGTTAAGACCAAATTGATGTCCATTTAAGAAAAAAAAATCAAGTTTATTAGCCAAATTCACATCAGAAACCTGGGTCTATTTGTAGGGAAAAAAATAAAAATAGTAGCTTTGTTTAAACCTTTTTTGTGTGTGTTTTTTATTCAGAAAAAAGTTTAATTATTAGCTTTAGCTATCCTAGATTTTAAAATGAAAAGACATTTTAAAAACGCAAATGGGAAACCAATAGGATTTTATCGCCTTCCATGTGTAGAAGCTTTTCAGAAAGAATACAAAAAACTTTTTAAAACAGTTGGAATGTATTGAGATCATGATCACATTTGGTCACGATACGACTTTAAACTAAAGTCACTATTTTTATTGAAAAAGATTTTAAATTTATATAAACAAAACTATCTATATACAAAAATAGACTTCACACGGTTTTGCTGTTATTTATAACGCTACCATTTTTATTTTTTGATGCGGTGTCAACTGCTCTATAATATAATATGCTGAGATATAAATGTATAATTTAACCAGAAAAAATCGATGGTGCTTACACATATTTTTAATGTTACTTTAGAGGGGGGGGGGCATCATATAGAAGGGGGGTTTTGCCAAAAATGACAAAGAGGGGAGGGGTTTAAAAATTGAGAAAAATCACAGACATCAATTATGGACAGCCCCTTTTACTAAGTTGGAAAGTTTTCTTGAACGGTCTATAAATACCAAGAGCTACGCTTAACTCGGACATTCCCTAAATCGTACTATTTTATCTGAGTCCAACTTAACGGGATTTTACTATATATATATATATATATATATATATATATATATATATATATATATATATATATATATATATATATATATATATATATATATATATATATATATATATATATATATATATATATATATATATATATTAGATATATTTGTATTAACGTTTGAAGAATCATTTAACAACATTTTTCAATAATTTTATTATTTTAAACTGTTAACACTTAATATCTTAAATATATCGCAACAAAATCTTTTGCGTCTTTTTCGTAACTGCACATTCCGGAATGCTTCTTCCGTAAGGAACAATTTCGATGGTATTCTTACGAAATGATTTGTTTCGCAAGTTTTCTTTCGCAATGCTTTATTACGGAATTTTATTTATAATTTCGTATATTGCGTTACGGAATGTGCATTTTTGCATGTGCAACTTCTGCAATAACAATTCTATTACGGTAAATAAAGATGGGAAATTTTCGGAAGTTTTGTTTTTCGGCAAACAACCCTAGTTTAGATATGATATTTTTTTAAAAATTTTATTATTTTTTTAAATTTTAATAATTTTTTAATTAACTTATTCTATTTTAGGCCGACCATATTCTGGAAAAGCTGCTGATGTTTGGGCTTTAGGTGTAATTTTTTTTACGATGCTATATGGTCGGTTTCCATTCTTTGATGCTGATCCAAAGTTACTATTTCGAAAAATTAAAATTGGTGAATATGCTATTCCAGAGTATGTATACTTTCTTTACTTTTATGTTTTAAAATTTCTATTTTAAGTAAAATTATCTGAAATAAGTTATTATCTAAAATCCAAGTTATATTATGATATAACTTGAATTTAAGCCTTGTTTTAACATCATGGTTTAATTTGTCATAAAAATATCATGGTTTAATTTTTTTGATAAAAACATCATTTAACTTCTGTCATTTTGTCTTCTGTCATTTTGTCTCAGTTTTATTATCTCATGGATATGAATATCTTTTGATTCATGGATATCTTTTGATTCATGGATATCTTTTGATTCACAAAAGACTAATAGTCGCATGCTTGACTTTAGCACAATCTTTACATAATAATTTACTTGTCCTTTGATTTCACTTCTTTGAAATTCTCTACTTATTCTCTTTTATTATTTGTGTTATTTATGTGTATTTGGTTAACACTCTAATCACTTTCACATTATCTCTCATCCAATATTGTTGTTATTGATGACTTTAATGCTCACCACACTGCTCAATCCATTGTAATGCTCAGCCTTTCTGGCTCTAAAGTTCAAAAATTTTGTCTTCTCAATCTTGTTCTCAGATATTCAATTTTTTTTCAGATATCTCAAATTATTACTTACCTTCACTCTTTGATTTGTGTCATATCTCTGACCCAAGTTTGTGCAGCATGTCTAATTTTGATACTGTCAAATTTAGACAATGTCAAAGTGCCCTGTCTTATCGTTGTAAAGTTTCCTCTCTTTCACTTTTCTATGAATGGTTGCAGCTTAAGTCATTTTTTGTTATATAAGACCTAACATTGCGTGACCTGTCATTCAACAAAAGTGTATCTTTTCACTGCTTACAGGAAAACTTTTTTCCTCGAAAATCATTGCTTTGGATTTCTCTCGTGTCTGAATTCTAAATTGTCTCTTCATTTTCTGATTTGTACCATTTTTTAGTTTTTAAGTCTTCTGTCGTTTTCTTACTCTCCAACTCTTTCCTTTACTATCTGTCATGCATGACAGAATCATTAAGTCTTGCATGCATCCATGTTGTCAGTAAATGTGCCGAGAAAAAGTTTTAATTTCATCTGATATATACTTTATGGTTGTTTATAAATGAATCGCTAACTTGAAAAAGGGGACATGTTATGTAAGTTTTTGCAGGACATGTCCCTTTTTCAAATTAGCGATTCAATTCAAATATCAACATCAAACATAAATGAAATTTTTTATTTCATATTTTAATATTTTTTTTATTTCGTCTAGTTTATTTGAATTTAACCGTAATAATCATAAAAGTTTTAAATTCGTTTTTTTGTTCTGAAGTTTAAAAAAAAAAAGTTAAAACAAGGTTAAAATTTGTTCTGAAGTTAAAACGAGGTTAAAATTTCTTATGTTATTAAAGATGAGTATAATTATTTTTAAAAATGTATTAAATCTTTAAGTGATGATCGCGTTGCTGATGAAACCGTGCTCATCATCCACAGCATTTTTGTATTGGATCCTATCAAACGCGTAAAAATATCTCAGCTTATTCAACAAATTAGGTCCACTTATAACAACTGGTACATAGTAAATTTTCGTAATTTAAGAAATTAATTATTTATTACCAATAAAAGTTTGGATTTTTATTATTTGATCTTGTTAATACAATAATTTGATAACTGTTTTTTTTTTCGATAATTATTTTTTTAGGTATTGCTTTCAAATTACAAACGACGACCTGCAAGTTGTTCCTGATGTAAAAGAACAAGAAGAAAATAATGATAGTTTTACTTACAGAAAAAAAGGTTTTAGTAATCTACGTGAGGGACGTCAGTTACCTGTCAAAATAGGACCGAAAAAAGCTGTTCGCTGGCGATCTGGAGCCCCGATTTCAGACGGAGCATCATTAAGCGATCTGAGTATGGAAAGGTCAAGGAATGTTTAAAAAAGATTATTTCAGAACAATTAACTTAAAGTGTTATTCAGCAAAAATATTTTATTTTGATTAAATCTTTAAACAAATTTTTTGTTGTAAAACTTTTAACATAAAATCATCAAAAATAAATCAGTAATAACCCTAGTTAAAACATTTTATAGTATCCCTATAGGGTTCCTATATGTCATATAGGATATGCAGTAGACTGTATATATAGGATATGCAGTCAGACCATACACAGTAAAAAATGTCGGCCGAAATTGTCTAATATAAGTCCCATGTCACGAAGCCCGATTTTTTATGCGACATAAAGAATTCAAGTTGTCACGTAGACGATATTTCGTCTGACTTTTTTTCCCGTGAAGTTTGGGAAGTCAGACGAGAAAACTTTGGTTTTTGCGCTAATGCAATTTATCATCTACCGGAACAAATATGTTCCTGCGGCTTTTCTTTGATCTTAATGTAATATCGCAAAGTTTCGGGGGGTTTTATTTTAAAAATGCGCTAAAATTTAGTTAATTAAATTATCAGTGCTATTCAGAAGCAATATAAAAAATGAAAAAGGATAATTTAAAGTATGCTTTCAAAATAGTTTGTAACTTATTTTGTATTAAATCTTTAAAGGATTACCAAAAAGAAGCTTTAAAAGCTCTCACCAATAGCAGAGATTGTTTTGTTTGCAAACCAACAGACAGTAAAAAATCTATTGTGTTCCGAAGTTTACCTTTTTTTACCTTCACTTTAAACTTATTAAGAAAAGGACAAACACTTGATATTATTCGATATGAATATTTACTTAAGTTGTGCAATAATTAAGTTTTAGTTGTTTCTCCGCTTTTGAGTTTAATGAAAGATCAAGAAAACATTCTTAGTAAATACTTTTTCCTAAAAAAGAAATCAAAGTAGCTTTTATGAAGCATAATCAACAAAGAAAAAAGTATAGAAGATGATCAAACAAAGGTAATAATTATCATTATTATACATTGTTTTAGTTAACAAATAAAGTTTTCTAGAAAAGGTCTAGTTTTTGCTGGGTAATTACCCTGAGAAATTATACATTTTTTTCTGAAATGTTGTTCATAAACTTTGGAATTTTGATTTCAATTTTCTGTAGAAAACATGTAAAATATTTTTTAGTGAATGCATAACTAATCATTTATTGAGAAATTTTTAGTGCTAAATGCATTTAGATAATTATAATATTTCATTATTATGATATTTCATTATTATATTTCATTATAATTCTAAAGATATTTTGATATTTCATTATTAAATTTAAATGCGTTAAGCATTTATTAGGAAATATTATATTATTCTGATATTGAATTCCAACATCCCTCAAATAATTTTTTTTTTTTGAATTATGGAGTGTTGTTTATTGTTTAAAAGTATATACTATTTTTTTAGATAAAGTACAATGAAACAAATGTAATATTTTGTTCATCTGAAGCCATTGTAACAACTTATTGATCAATTGTCAATGACTCTGCTTTTAATCAGAAACTTATTGCAATTGCAGCTGACGAAAGCCATTGTGTGAAAAAGTGTTAAGTGATTTTTTTACATAAATAAATTTGCTTGTTTAGTAAACATTGAAATTTACAACTTTAATTTCAGACCTTTTTATATATAAAATTATTTTAAAATTAAAAAATCTTGCTCATTGAAAGAAAAATTGCATTACCTATAGCATTATATGAGCAAAATCTTGTGATTTACATGATTCTATTTATACCTTATTTGTCTGTTTTTTTTATAGGGGAAATTCAACTACATAATCAGATGTATTTCGGTCTCATGATAATAGAATTGTGATCACTTGTCTCAAAAAGGATTCTAAAAAAACAAAAATGGTAAACGATAATTTTCATTTACTCGACTAGATTATTCATTTACTAGTCAAGAAAGAACATCTTTATAGGCGGAGCCAGCATTTGAATCCTGCTGCTGCAGCCAATAATTATTCTGAACTTATAACAGTGCTATAACCAACTGAGCTATCCCGAACTTATAACAGTGCTTCAACCAATTGAGCAACCATTATTGATAATCTTTGTATGCATAATTTAGTTATTATATCATCTACACCAGAAAGAAGAAATATTAAATACCAGATCCAGAGAAATTTTTCTACCCAGTTGTTCAAGATATTCTTTTGAATACGTATTTAGTTAAAAGAACTTTAGTCTTTTCTACAACTATGACTGATATAAGATCAATTTATTGGTACTTTCACAAAGAACAAGGTCAAAAAGGTGTAAAATATAAAAACTATCTTTATAGACCATACGTTCAATTTCATTCCAAAACAAAAATATAAACAACCTCTAAACTTGATCAAGATTTTTTGTTTGAAAATGTTCTACTATTCGTTTCTTCTGCTTTTGGTGTAGATATCAATATTTTTTGTGAGTTTTCTTTAAGAGTTTCACGACCTCTTGAGATGACATTTATATTTTTTTGTATTTTTGCTAATGTTCTTTTTACATTTGTATAGCATATTTTACAAATACAATGATAGTTTTTTGAATAAATTAATTTTTCATTTATGAAATTTCTATATGTAGGCCAGCTTCTGTTATTTTTTCCTTATTATCCCATAGAAATAATTTTTATAGAACCATCATCATAGGATAAATACTTTTGTGTGATATCATGGAGACATAAAATGCACACGCTTAACGAATTAGGGGTAAGAAAACCTCATAAGGTTGTACCCTTTTTTTGGCAATGGTAAAATGTTTTTTTTTAAGCAATGAAACATTGTGATCATTGCATTAAAAATCAAACAACTTATCCTCCATTTATTAAAAACTGGATACCATGTTGCAATATGAAAGTAAACCAAAACTTATGAGTATATAAAAAGCAAAACAAAATGTTTGAATTTAATAAATTAAATTTGAAGATGATCATCAAGACGATCAAGTCATGCCATAGTTAAACCATGGAAGTATAAAACAGATGGAAGTTCATCGAGCCGCAAACATCAAAGCAATTTCAAGTCGTCTCGGGAGTATGCTTGTAAACGACAATTTAAAAAAAAACAAGTTTCACTGGATGAAAAAAACAACAAAATTCACTGAAATGATCTTTATTAAAACATTAAAAAATGAATTATTCTAAGGATATGTTGCAAATTTTTAACCATTAGTAGTTGCAATTATTCAACAAAAGGTTTATTAAAACTCGGTAATTAAATAGTACCACTTGATTTTAAAAGCATATGTTAGTTTAAGTTTCTTTTCTTGCTTCAAGTCATAACACGACATTTGATAAAAACTAAAACAATTTTTAAAAAATCAAAAAAATTGTTTTCTAAGTAACTAAAGTTTAAAGTTTTATAAGCTGTATATGATAACTTCATTCATTCTTTTGAAGAATTTCAATGACGTTGAACTACCATCTGTTTTATACTTCCATGGTTAAACATAATAAATAAGAAAACCTAAGAAATGATAAAAATTATATTTTATTTGTTTTCAGAAAAGCCATCAAAGATATTTGCTTATATATAAGCAAATAAATTTTTCCTGGTTCAGAAGTCAATATAACACGGCAACACTATTGTAATGTTTTGTCTTTATATTTATTATAAAGAGAATTCGACTATGGTTTTTATTTAATATTTATTTCAATATTTTCATATTAAATTATCACTACTAATAAATATAAAACTCTGTATAGTTTCACGTCGAAACTTCAACTGTAATTTAATTCAGCGCACTGGGTTTTAAGGTAGAATTCCTCGTGGGGAATTCTCTCAAGGGAATACTTTCGTGATAAGTTTTTGTGCAATTCGCAAAAGGGAATTGCTTGTTTTGCAATCGCTAATTGCTATTCTGAATTGTTTTGAGTAATAATCATTACACCTTCCTTCTTTTAAAAATGCATTTCGTAATCAATGTAATGTTTTGGCTTTCTCAAAATTCTTCCTGATCGCGTGACAATGTCATGGTTTAATGATTCATTTTGATTTGTATTTGTTTCAATGTTTGCGTTATTTGACAGTTTTCTTTTACCAATGAATATGTCTTTTGATTCATTCATATCGCTTTCATTATCGAATAACATCCCAATCTACTTCTTCTTTTGTTTTTAGTAGATGTCTTCTGTTTTCTCTAACAATATTTCCATTTAAGGTTTTTACAGAACAAATAGAAACTTCGTTGCTGTTTGCTCTCAACAATTTTTCCTGGTTGCCATTTATTTCCATCATGTATACGAACACAGTCTCCATCGCTTACGTTTTTCAATGTTTTTGCGTTTTTGTCATAATATTTCTTCTGTAAGTTTTGAACTTTTTCATTAATTTTATTAGCTTCGTTCGTGTTTACAGTCTTTACTTCATTTAGTAGTTTGACAGCTTTTAAGTCTTGTGAAGTTTGTACGCTAAGAACGAGTTTGCTTGTTGTTTCAACTACATAGAATTTAACCAACTTTTTACGACTTTTGTAGTAACACATCATCTTTGATGTTCCAAGCACTGGAATATGATTTCCTCCATAACTACGTAGTTTAACATTTGTATAAGTGAGATTATCACGTGATGTTAGTTGGTCGTAGACTCTTTTTGGCATAACATCAACTTCAGCTCCAGTGTCAATTTTTCCACGTACCAATTTATTATTAATTTTAAAGATTATCATAGCTTCATTTTTACCATTTATTTCACCAGATGATACAGATTCCACATGGTATTCTACAGCGCAATTTTCGTGTATGTTTTTCGAGTTGCAGCAAGTTGCCTAATGATTTATTTTATTACATTTACGGCACGTTTTACCGAATGCAGGAAAGTTTCTTGGTTCATGTTTTCTGCTGCATTTCTTGCACTGTCTTTGTTGTTGTTTTTTTATATGAGCCATTATTGATTTGTTTCCAGTTTTGTTTGTTTGGTTCAACCCTGTCTTTGCCTTTTGACTCATTTTCGTTATTTGAGAACTTTCTCCATTTTGGTATTTGTCCGATTGACGCATTTGCTTGTCTTGGTTTTATGAATTTCTTTACTACGTCAATATCTTTTTCGTTTGTAATTTGTTTCATTTCTGCATTTGCAACTTCTTCAGCTCTACATATAACAATC